CAGAGGCTCTGGGGCGCCCCTCCTCCATGACAAGAGGCATCACCGCCACGCCGTGCTGCTCCTGCTCAGCCGAAGCCTCCAACCGCTTCTGCAGAGGCTGAGTATGAGTTGGTAAAAACGACTTTCGATTCGCAATGGTCAAAGAAATTCAGTTGGCTGCGCTTAATGCGCATGACTAACGGCAGGCCGTCATTGAAATGTGCCATCTGCATCAAGCACGGGGATCCAAACGCGCACACTGCCTACGGCGTCAGAGGTGAGGGTGCCCGAGACATGCAGCTAGGGAGCATCCGCGCGCACACATAAAGCAGAGCCCACAAGCAGGCCTTGGAAAACGAGGCCAAAGCAGACGCGGAAAAGGCGAAGCAAGCCACACGAACAAGGTGGCAGAGCACTGATGCAGCTACACGGCACATCATCCGCTGCCTCCACCTCGCGCTCTTTATCTGCAAGGCTGACGCGCCAATAGCAATGTTTGTTCCTTTGTGCTGGTTTCTGGCTAAGGAAGGACTGCCGGACCTTCCACCGTCTGGAGGGTACGGCGCCTACTACACCAAGTAAGTGCGGGTTCGTGGCGCTTGTGTTTGTTCCGTGACTCAAGCTGACCAGATGCTACTGCAACTTGTGTTCGTGTACCATGTGTGTTGTCCTCGCAGCTACGGATTCAAAGAGATGCTGCGCGCAACCTCCACTTACCTTCAAGAGACTCAACGCGGCCACCTTCTGGAATCCCCATATATAGGGATTCTTCTGGATGAGAGCACCGACCGGGTGAATGGCAAGCACCTGATACTGTATGCGACATTCTTCAAAGGGGTAACTCCGGTAACGGAGTTTTTAACTCTCATTACCGTGGACCGTGCCGATGCGGCCTCGCTAACCTCCGCTGTTGTGCAGTACCTTACAGGAATCGGGGTGGATCTCCAGAGGATTTCTGGAATATCTACGGACGGGGCGAGTGTGATGACCGGCAAGAACAACGGTCTAGTCGCGAGGCTGCGACTGCGCATACCACACCTGGCTTCAACTCACTGCGTCGCTCACAGGTACGCATGTTGGATTCTGAGTTTTTTCCAGCACAGGATCAGTGACGCGCAAACCGTACTAACATGCTCCAGTTGAATGCGCAGGGAGGCATTGGCAGCTAAGGATGCGGTGGAGGCAGTCCCCGAGCTCGGCATGGTGGACGACGTGGTGCGTGCCTTCTCCGAGCACATCGGCCGCAGCAGCGTGGACTACACCAAGTTTCAGAATCTCCAGCGCGTCTACTGCCAGACGAATCTGGAGGCGCAGGGCATAAACGACGTGCGCTGGCTCTCCCGTGGCGAGGCGATCCAGCGGTTCCTTGACGTTCTGCCTGCCGCCATTGTCGTGCTGAAGGACTACAAGAAGGACTTGTACGAGGTAGTCACCTCGTTCAAGTTCCACTGGCTCATCCGCTTCCTCGCGGATGTGCTCTGGGAGCTCAACCAGCTCAATCTGCGCTTTCAGCAACGTCAGGTAACCAACTGACAAGCACAGTTGTACTTACACGCACGCCTACAATGCTCTTTCTGACCGCATGTCTTATGTGTGTGCAGGTGGACGTCACCCTCGTGGCGCACCTTGTACAACAGACGCGGATGCGCCTGAAGACGCGCTACTTCGACAGGTCCCCTGGTCACTTTTTTGGCAGCGGAGAGAAGATGCAGCTGCCTGACTTCATCAAGGCTCACCAGAAGATGGATAAGCGACAGATGAAAGCGGAAGGCGTGGACGCGGACGGCAACGCCGTCTCCTTCGAATTCACCCTGCACGAACGCCCCCTGCCAGGCCATGAGACAGACGGTGATGTAACCGCGTGCTTCGAGCTTTCGCTCAAGTTCATCCGCAAAGTGGACGCGGAGCTGGAGTGGCGCATGCGCGACCTCAACCTCCTCGAAGGCGCCAAGCTGTTTCGTACGGCGTCGTATGTGGCCGACGACACCCAGCGGCTGGAGTCCTTCAGGAAGTGGCTTGGCCAGCTCCACAAGCTGTACAACCACAAGCTGCCTGGTAAGCGTGTTTGTTAGATGGGGCGGGTATTAGTGATTGACTTGCGTAAACAGCTTTGCACCAGCTTGTTTCCCATCGCGCTTGTTGCTACTCATCACCCGGCCCTGTATTGTGGACTAATGCCTCCCAATCCTACCCGTATGTATGAGCGTCTGCCAATGATCATCCCCTTCCGCACTACCAGGGTTCGACTACATGCGTTTCGGCCAGGAGCTCTGGATGTTTACCTCGACCATGTTCTCCCAGCACAACGGCGAGGAGTTTCATCAGGCGCTGGGGAACATGCTGCGCGACGAGGCGTGGCGTGCGTCGTTCCCCAACATCGTCCGGATGTGGCAGTCTGTCGCCGTGCTACCACTGAGCACGGTTGAATGTGAGCGCGGCTTCAGCAAGCAGAACCTGATCAAGACGTGGGACCGCGGCAGCCTCGGCGACACAAGCCTTGAGCACCTGATGCGGTGCTCCCTCCTGCAGTACGACATTGACTGGTATGAGGTGGTCGCCATATTCCGCGGGGAGAAGCTCAGGCGATCCACCAAAGACTTCTCCGGCATGAAGGCCAGCAGCACTAAGCAGTTTGCAGACGAGGCAGTTGCTAGTGCAGCAGATGTTGATTGACTAGTGTCTTCTGTAGGGCCCTTTATTTAACTTGGTTGGTAGTCAAGCTTGTAGGTGCAGTGCAGAACACTTTAGTGATAACTAAGTAATTGTTGTAGTAGTACAATCTTATGCTTAGGAAGGAAACAGTGTACGACATATATTATCCTGCCAAAATCAGTGTACCAAAACTTTTAGGCTGCTACAATCAGTGTACGAGAAACTTTACCCTACCAGTCAGGGTACGGAGGGGATGCCACCCTGATTTGAAAGAGTGAGCTAAAACCTATTTTGGGCCCTGCTCGCCAGCTTGAGTGTGGGAGACGAAAATCGGCTAAACCGTTTGAAAATGAGAGACGTGGGTGGAGGGAAATGACCTCCAGCCCACGTTTTGTACTCCAAAACGGGCGTTTAGCGCGGTTCGTCCAGGGCTGACGTTTCAAAAAACGCCTCCCTGTTTTTGACCCGCAATTTTTTTTTCTACTCTGACGGCACTTCGGCCGCAAAATGGCCACTCTGAGCGTGCTAAAAGAAATCAGGGTTGAAAAAAACATAACTCTGGTCCTTCAGTGTTGGGGAAATGACTTCAGAGTCGCGGTTTTTTTTTTTTTTTTTTTTTCCTTCTGGTTTGTCGATGAGCTTCAAGGGCGAGAAGGACTGTTGCAACATTGGCTCGATTTGGCGCAACTTTGCAAGTGCCAACTGGGCGACCTGCCACGCAGCTGAGCTGGCACAGAACACAAACCACCACTTGGCGCGCGAGAATCTGCCGGTGCCTCCGCAACATAAATTTTCAACCTATGAATCAGGAACAATTTATTTCAAGTGCTGTGGTGCGGAGAAATTTTCGATTTCAGCACCAAAAAGTGCGATACATTACCTGTGGCAAGATATCCTCTCCCACCGATTCGCCGATTTGTTGTGCTATCCGCTAAGACATCACTATTGGGCTTCTTTTTCTAGCCCGCTTCAACGGTTATCCCACTGTGGGACACAATTCAACCTGCGTGATACTGCCACAGATAGAGTGTATTCAGATATCGCAGCAGGTGCTGTGTGCTTTGCTCACGTGTTGGCATTCGCTGCCACCTCGGAGGTGGGTGTATCGAAAGGAAATTTCGAGGAAGCTTCCTCCCGATAAACTCGCATGCAGGGACCACAGAACGCATACTCTGTAGTGACAGACTCCAGAAATGACTAACACTTAGGCCTATTACACTGAATCAGGGGCCATAAAACAATAACTCTGAGGCTCTCGGTGATGAAAATTTGACTACTCTGGAATTCCATTTTTCACAAACTCGATGGTCTGATCCGTCAGACTAATCAGACTATTTACTCTGATAGCGTCAGCCCTGGGTTCGTCGCTGCCCATTCCTACATTACAGACTGCTTCGCTTTCAAAATACGAAATTTTGAAAAGCGTTACACTTTTAAAAATATTCATGTTTTTGATCATGTGCAACACTGATCGCAAGGGTTGGTAAAGACCAAAAATTAGCTCTGGTGGGTATATGTGAATAAAAAAATAGAAGTCTTGATAACTTGCTTGCTGAGACAGGTATGTAAGTGAATCAAACGGGCTTAAATAAAACCACTGGTTTCTGCCGTGTATCGTTTAGTGAAGGGAAAGTAGCATAGAAAAAAAACATTCTGTTTATATTCATAGGCTTGGGACCGTACATGTAGGAGACTCTCGCACAAAATCGTATCAAACCACTCAATTGGGTACAAGAAGGTAACACCCCTTACGTCATGCTAAAACCCGGAACCTCGAAGGGTCTTACGTCTTGCTCAAGGCGTGCGCGAGGTACGCGAAATTCTTGTCGGGCTGGCGAAACGTGTGTCAGAAGTAACTTCAGTGGGAGAATGCATGAGCCCCATTCCGCCAGGTGGCTGACCACCAGATGTGTACAAAATTCGTCGCACTTGCAACTGATTTCGTAAAAGCGAATACAGTATTCCGCCCGTGGCCGCCGTCCAGCACTCACAAGGTGCGCCTACCGCCCTCAGTCTTGCGCCATTCCCAGCGCTCGCGGATTTCTTTGCTTCCTTTTCATTCCCATCTCCGCTTCCCCTTCTCCGTTTCCGCCATTTCGGACATTTCTCTGCGCTCTCCTCCGCCAGTTTCCCCTTCCCCCTCTCACGTTTTCCTCCCGCTCCCATCTCCCCCTTCCGACCCCCTCCACCCTCCTCTCCTTCCTCCCCCACTCTCCCCTGCTCCCCCTTCTGCCTTTCTCGTCAGGGTGTAAGTAACTACGCTTACCTCTGTTTCGCCTCCTCTTTTCCGGCTCCTAAGGCCGTCTCGCTCGTCTTAGGGTTAGTCCGTTTCCCAACATTGTTACCTAGCTGAAGACAACGCAGCAGCCATGGTTTCGCTTAAGCTTCAGAAGCGGCTCGCTTCGAGCGTGCTGAACTGCGGGCGCAACAAGGTGTGGATGGACCCCAATGAAGTCAACGAAATCTCCATGGCCAACTCCAGTGCGTTACCCTAACCCTCACGAGATCTCGCCTCACCCTCGCCCCACCGTCGCTCCTCTCGCATCGCACTCGCAACGCTCCTCTCTCGTCGCTCCACTCGTCTCGCTCCACCCTCATCGCTCCACTCTTCGCCCCACGCCCGTTATTTCTTACCTTCTCGCCCCACCCTCGTCGCTCCAGCGTCCTCGCTCAACCCTCGCTTTCTATCACTATCGCCGCTCCGTTTTGATAAAGAAGATAGGATTATGCGCCGCCAGTTTTCTCCGCCAGTCTGCTTTCAAATAGCTCCACTTCGATTCCAAAATACGAAAAGTTTGGATCTGGATTCGCCACGTCAGCTTCGCCTTGCCTGTTCTTATGCACCGCATTCTCGCAATCGAGTGATTTGCTGGCTATCGCGATTGAGTCCTGCTCCCGTTTATCGTCTTTCTGAGGACTCCGTTGGGTTGAGGGATACGAATCTAGCTTTTGAGTTGACTCAAAAGCTGAGGGATACGAATCTAGCTTCCTGATTTGGAGGTCTTCCTGGGTATCCCGTTCTCCGCTCGTTTATGACGAGACACCCCGAAGCCAGCCACGGACGACTTTCTATCGTGAAGCTGATTCGAGAAGTTAAAGAAGTCGACCAAAGTCTACCGTCTTGAACCTCCTTACACTCCATTCCCCCCCGTTTCCCCCGGTTACGGCAAAACATCCGCAAGCTCGTGAACGACGGCTTCAGTATCCGTAACCCGCAGAAGACTTATCCTTCCTCCATTGAATTTTTCCTCTTTTACCCCCTTCTCTTCATATCACAACCGTACTTCCCCCATCGTCCCCATCCCTCCCCCTTTCTTCCCCCTACCCCCCGTCTCTTCTCCCCCTTCAGGGCAAACGTCCGCAAGCTCGCGAAGGACGGCTTCATCATCCGCAAGCCGCAAAATATGTTTCCCCTCTCCTCTCACCTTCCATTTCCCCTCCCGCTCCTCCACCCCCCCTCCCCCCCCTTCCTTCCCCGCCCCCCGCTCCCCGCTACCCCTTCCCCGCTCCCCGCTACCCCTTCCCCGCTCCCCCTATCCATTCCCCCTTGCTCCTCCGCCATTTCAGGGCAAAACATCCGCAAGCTCGTGAAGGATGGCTTCATCATCCGCAAGCCGCAGAAGATCCACTCGCGCTTCCGCGCGCGCCGCCTGCTCGAGGCCAAGAGGAAGGGCCGCCACACTGGCCACGGTAAGGATACGTGATTTTTCGTACACTCATGAGTATTTCCTTTTTGTAATTCTCGAACAACCCTCTGCTTTTGCCGGCTGCCCGCCTAGAGGAGTCCTTGGTAGGGGTTGACAATGGGCTGACGTCCAGTCATAGGCGGCGACAGTGATCATGGTAACGGCGAAGTTCCGGTAGAGATTCTTGACGGTGTTTTAATCGGGAGACGCGCGCGTTTTTTTTTTTTGTGAACCGGAAGGATTTACTAACCGGCTCAAGTACGCAGGCTACAGTAACGATAGACAGGGGCTTATCGCACCGGCGCGCCGTCACTGGTGCACGGATAACGGACCCTAGGGCTGCGCAGCAGAGTTTTGAGCCCTCTCAGTTCGGAATTAAGGGTTTCGTTGGAGAGTGTTAAGCCGTCTCAGATTCGGGCCCTAGAACTGCGTAAAACTTACGGACCCCCCTCGAGTTCTGACTGGAGATTGGAGAGATCAGATTTGATAGAATGCGCATTGGATTTTCTTTCACCATTAAGTGGGCTGTTTCTCGAATTTCTTTATTGATTATGATCATGGTAACGGCCAGATCTTTCTATCCCACGACGAGTAGGATTTGGACCAAGTTTCCGTCAGGCGGTGCAGCAGATTGGCTCATCTAGGGGATGGGTGGAGCTGAAGCGATCTAGCGTAGGGTGGAGCAGAAGGTTCTGTAGGAGAGCGCCCCCCTAAGCGATCGTGGCGTTACTTATGGAGTTCGAGCGTCGCTGTCCAACGGCGCTGCCAGCGGCGGCTTTAACGGCGCTGCCAGCGGCGACTTGAACGGCGCTGCAGCGGCGACTTTAACGGCGCTTTCAGCGGCGACTTTAACGGCGCTCGCCAACGGCGCTTAAGGATGTAACATAGTGGAGCTTTTGGCGAAATCCAGCCAAGCGTAGCGTTCAATCCTTCCACAGAGAGGTCGTTGCGATGTTACAGCGGGCAGATCGCTTCAAGTTTCGACGTTCCCTTCGAAGTGCTAGTGCAGCGTGGAGTCCTGCAGAGAAAAGAAAAATGAGACCCACATTTACGAGTGTGGGTGGCATTGTTTGTCGAAGAGTACGTTCGGCGCGTGACAAGAACGGACGTTATTTTCCAAAGCATTCCCCTCTTCCTGCTGTCCCGGCTCTCCTCCCCGCCGCCCCCTCCCCTCCCCGCCTACTCCCCCCTTCCCCGCCTACTCCCCCCTTCCCCGCTTTTCCCCCCGACCTCCTCCTTTTCCTTCTTCCATTCTTTGCCAATCTCCAGGTAAGCGCCGCGGTACCCGCGAGGCGCGTCTCCCCACGAAGGTGCTGTGGCTGCGGCGCATGCGCGTGCTGCGGCGCATGCTGAAGCGCTACCGCGAGGCGAAGAAGATCGACAAGCACCTGTACCACGAGCTGTACATGAAGGTCAAGGGTGGCGTGTACAAGAACAAGCGCGTGCTCATGGAGAGCATTCACAAGCTCAAGGCGGAGAAGGTTCGCGAGAAGACGCTCACGGATCAGTTCGAGGCGCGCCGCGCCAAGAGCAAGGCGTCCAGGGAGCGCAAGATGGCGCGGCGGGAGGAGCGGTTGGCGCAGGTGAGCTGAGTGCGGTGTGCTACGGTTCTGAGCAGTTGTATGCGGTCCGGGGAGGTTGTGAGCGGTTGAGTGCGGTGAATTGGTCGTAACGAGTGGTTTATCGGGTTTCGGGGTGGTCGTGAGTGGTTGAGTGCGGTTCCGGGCGGTGTGTACAAGAATAAGCGCGTGCTCATGGAGAGCATCCACAAGCTCAAGGCGGAGAAGGTTCGCGAGAAGACGCTCACTGACCAGTTCGAGGCGCGCCGCGCCAAGAGCAAGGCGTCGCGCGAGCGGAAGATGGCGCGGCGGGAGGAGCGGTTGGCGCAGGTGAGAATGGGTTGGGTGCGGTGCAGGGCGGTTGTGAGTGGTTGAGTGCGGTGGAGTGGTGGTTGGGAGTGATTGAGTGCGTTGCAGGGCAGGTTATGAGCGGTTGATTGCGGTTCCTGGCGATGTGTACAAGAACAAGCGCGTGCTCATGGAGAGCATTCACAAGCTCAAGGCGGAGAAGGTTCGCGAGAAGACGCTCACCGACCAGTTCGAGGCGCGCCGCGCCAAGAGCAAGGCGTCCAGGGAGCGCAAGATGGCGCGGCGGGAGGAGCGATTGGCTCAGGTGAGAATGGGTTGGGTGGAGTGCGGGCGGTTGTGAGTTGCTGAGTGCGGTGCGGAACGGCATGTTCAAGAGCAAGCGCGCCGCGTCGAAAGCAAGGCGTCTAGGAAGCGGAAGATGGCGCGGCGGGAGGAGCGACTGGTGCAGGTGAGGGGGAGCGGAGGAGGAAGGGGGACGGGAAATGGAGCGAGGGAAGGGGAAGGGGAATGGGAGGGAAGAAGGAGCAGAAGGGAAGGGGAAGGGGAAGGGGAAGGGGGAGGGAAGAAGGAGAGAGGGAAGGGAGAGGGGAAGGGGGAGGGGAAGGGGGACGGAGAGGGGAAGTGAGCGGAAGAATTGGGGTTTTGTAAAAAAGCAGGCGTTGAGGCAAGTGTCGTTTTTTGAGTTTTGGGCTTGCTGTGCCAGAAGTAAGCTCTTACTACGTTCTGGGGTTGGACTTGGCTTTCTGCCCAGAGAAAGTGCCTGGTGCTGGGAGGAGTGATTGAATTTTGGTGGAGTGCGGTGAAATGGAGTGGTTGGGGTAATTTGCACACGTTTACAGGTCCCCCGATGCTGAGCCAGCTTTCTTTACACTTCTTTCAGGCCCATCCCCCATCCCCAATCATCTTCCCTTCAATCCCCCCTTGCCATCCCTCCCCATCCCTCCTCGTCCCTCCTGATCGACTTCCCATTACTCCTGCTCGTCTCATCTCCTCTTCTTCCCATCCCTCACTCTTCATTATTTCTCACAGGGTGTTCAGGAGCAGGAGCCCGCAGCTGCCGAGGCTGCACCCGCAGCCAAGAAGTGAAAGTAACCACGTTCACATCACACGGCCTGACGGCACTGGCGAATACACCTGTGGGAAGAGGGGAATTAGTCATGATGCTCGAGGGGGAACCTGAGATTGTAACCTCTCTGCAGCTCAGCGTAGGCTTGTTGTATACCAATGTTCATGCTTACGCCAAAGTTCCTTTTTGAGCTATTTTCTCCCTCACTGGGAATTTCAGTCAATGGATAACATTCTTTCAGGATTTCAGGTTCACTCACAACACCAATTGCAATACAAATTAGACGTAGTAACATGATACATATTGCATGATGCACAGCGCAGGGCTTGTATTGTACACCAAATCAATCTTCATGCTTACGCCGAAGTTCCTTTTTGAGCGATTTTTTATTTGTTTTATTTTTGCTTTTTTTTTATTTTTATTTTTTAAATGGAAATTTCAGTCAACGTATGTAACATTCTTTCGCAAAACACCAATTGCAGTACACACTAGATACTACATGATACAGATTACATGCTCCCTAGCTAACGCTGGTTGTCAAACCCAGTTACAATCAGTTAATGTACCTGACATTACAAAGGGAGAGCACACTTCAGAAACAGTGCAACAATAGGACATGAGAAAAACGAAGTGCATTTCTCACAAAGGGCCCCCCTGAGTCTCTTTCACCTGCCACTGGAAATCTCCTGACAAAATTCCTGAGAAATCTCCTGAGACTGCAGCAGCACCCCCGAAGACCGGTCCGAGTAACCACCACCAGCAACAGAAATCTCAGTCTCTTTAATATACTCCCCGCTTTCCGACATAATATTCAGCCGAACAAACTCTGCTTGGATCGACAATCCCGATTCCGCCCGCCTGTCAAGCTCCTGATCAATTTTAGCCAGACGTTGGTCCACGTCCGAAGGATCTCGACCGTCCATGCCGCTGCTGTGAAAATGCTCCCTTTTTAGGGTTTCGAGCTTGCGGGAAACTTCGGACATGGGGGGTCGAGAGGAGGCGGGGAGGGCGGTGCACTGCAGGCCGATCTTGGCGAGCGAGAGAATGAGATCGTCGGAAGCTTCTGGAAGAAGGGGGTCCTTGAATGCTGCTACCTTGCTCTCCTCCACAAATGGGCGAACCTGATTGGGCCATGGGATGGATGGTAGGAAAGCAATATGGTTGGAGAGATGCAAGCGAGGGAAGGGAGGAGATCGTCGGAAGCTTCTGGAAGAAGAGGGTCCTTGAATGCTGCTACCTTGCTCTCCTCCACAAATGGGCGAACCTGCGAGGAGAGAAGGATGATGGGAAGAATGGTAATAGCAAAGAACAATGATGTGGCGAGAACGAGGCTGTGTGGATGAAGAGGGTCCTCAAATGCTGCCACCTTGCTCTCGTCGACAAACGGGCGAACTTGAAGGTTGAGGTGGGAGGGTGGGAAGGTGGGAAGGTGGGAAGGGATGTGTGAGTTCATGAGAAGAATGCTGATGAGGTCACGTCATGTGAGGCAACGGCAGGTCGGGAGGGAGCAGGCGGGGAGGGCGATATTGGCTTTTGAGAATTCTCAAAAACCAGCGGGAGGAGGCGGGGAGGGCGATATTGGCGAGAGTGAGAATGAAATCGTCGGAAGCTTCTGGAAGGAGAGGGTCCTTGAGTGCTGCTACCTTGCTCTCCTCCACGAAGGGGCGAACCTGAGACAAGGGAAGGTGGGGCGATGGGTCAATAAGAAGCGAAGAACGATGATGTGGTGAGGCAGAGTGAGTGAGAAAGTAGGTCCTTGAATGCTGCTGCGCACACACACACACACACACACACACACACACACACACACACACACACACACACACACACACACACACACACACACACACACACACACACACACACACACACACACACACACACACACACACACACACACACACACACACACACACACACACACACACACACACACACACACACACACACACACACACACACACACACACACACACACACACACACACACACACACACACACACACACACACACACACACACACACACACACACACACACACACACACACACACACACACACACACACACACACACACACACACACACACACACACACACACACACACACACACACACACACACACACACACACACACACACACACACACACACACACACACACACACACACACACACACACACACACACACACACACACACACACACACACACACACACACACACACACACACACACACACACACACATGTAACCAGTCCTTGATGTTGAAGTGCCCGCCATCAGCAAAAATGTGAGTTCTGTGGAAGGTACGCCCATGCACCAATGCACATACATAAAAGTACTGATTCACATGCATGCACAAGTACGTACCCAATCCTTGATGTTGAACTGCCCGCCGTCGATTGATAGAATGACCGGCTTCAGCGTTATCACCTCCAGTAGCAGCACACCATAGCTGCGGTGGCATGAGGGAATGGAACAATTCGACTTGGTGCTACAACACAATCAGAGAGACTTCAACGTTGTCACCTCCAATAGCAGCAAAACCAATAGCTGTAGGGAGAAACGTAACACATGGCGGAGTAGAACAATACTAATTGGTGCACCAACACATTCATAGAGGCTTCAGCAGTCCCACCTGTGCACGTCGATTTTTGAGTCGACTAAAAAATCGACTCCTCACATGGCGGATTAGAACAATACTATTTGGTGCACCAGCACATGACTTTTGAGTCGAATTAAAAGTCACCTAGAAATGTAACACATGGCGGATTAGAACAATATTTTTTGGTGCACCAGCACATTAATAGATGCTTCAACATTCCTATCTGTGCATATCAGCAATGGGGTAACCGTGCTTCTGTGATTTCTGCTCTTGAATCAAACACTCACCTGTGCACGTCAGCCATGGGGGTGGCCTTGTTGGTGCGCGAGTAAGCAGGATCCACATAGCCCGGAGTGCCGACCACTCGGGTGGGATTCACCGTGGTGCCTTCTGTCATGCGCACCAGCCCAAAGTCTGATATCTTCGCCTGCAGGTGAAGGGAGGATCGATGAGACACACAAAGGTTGCTGTCATGCGCAGCAGCCCAAAGTTTGATACCTTCGCCAGGTAGATGGGAAGGAGAGGAGGATGGGATGATGGCTGATGTAGCTCCTTCATGCACCCAACTTTTGAGTCGACTCAAGAAGAGGAGGATGGGATGATGGCCGATGTAGCTCCTTCATGCACCCAACTTTTGAGTCGACTCAAGAAGAGGAGGATGGGATGATGGCCGATGTAGCTCCTTCATGCACCCAACTTTGAGTCGACTCAAGAAGAGGAGGATGGGATGATGGCCGATGCAGCTCCTTCATGCACCCAACTTTTGAGTCGACTCAAGAAGAGGAGGATGGGATGATGGCCGATGTAGCTCCTTCATGCACCCAACTTTTGAGTCGACTCAAGAAGTGGAGGATGGGATGATGGCCGATGTAGCTCCTTCATGCACCCAACTCAAAATCTCCAACACCAAAAAGTGATTCAGACTTCACCAAGTGTTGGAATGTTCACCCACCAATCGGGGACGTGAGCTGAGTTTGGACCGCCGAGAGGCATGCTCGTTTTACACAAACGATCATTATTTGAGAGAGATGCAAGAGCATCATCCACTGCAGTTAAAGAGATGAGTTTTGAGGGCATGGGGGCCAGTAGCGTGTCATCCCCAATTTTCGACGAGTGGCGACCGTTTCAATCTCAACCGGACCTAAAGTCGAGTTGAGTCGAGTAGGCGAATCGAGTCAAAACTCGCCTCGACTGACCATGTCTAACCTGACCTATTGGTGGGAGAAGAATTTAACTCACAAAAAACGCTGGCTCCCCAACCGCACTCAACTATCATACTTCCCCCCTTACGCTCCCTTACCCTTCCTCCTCTCCTTACCTGCATGCGGGCATCGAGCAGCACGTTGGCGGGCTTGATGTCTCGATGCACGATGTCAAACTGGTGGAGGTACTCCAACCCCCGCGCCACCCCCACCAGCACATCCATGCGCTGCTGCAACGTCAGCTCCCCCTCTCGTGCACCTGCAATAGGCACAAGACGATTGTGTGTTGGAGAAACCCTCAAACTCCTACGTATACGTACGTATATGATATATATATATATGTATATGTATATATAAATCTATATAGATGTATGTAATTATTTTTTCCATATATTTATTGTATGTGTATATGTACTTTCATCTAACACTGATACATTCTATATGTATCATTCACTAAGTATATGCGCAAATGTACATACAATACTTTGTACACATAAATGCACATGCATAATACATTTATGTGTATATTCATAATATATTGGACATGATATATTTGTACATTCTATGAAGAGGATCAACACACATGAACTCTTATCGCACCTCTCCACTCACCTCCATGTAGATACTTCTCGAGGTCCCCATTGGCGCAAAACTCATAAATAACAATCTGCTCGTGGTGCTCTGTTGTCATATCCATGTCCACACAGTACCCCAGCAGCCGCACCAAGTGCGGATGGCTCTTTGTTGCCATCTCCTCCACCTGCATGAGGAATGAATGGAAGAGAGAAGACTTAGGAAAAATTGGGTGATACATTTGTGCAAATGATGAGACTCTTCCACACCATCTCCTCCACCTGCATGAGGAATGAAGGGAAGAGGACAGAAAGGCGTGGCGGGCAGTGAACTCGTGAGACTATTGTGCTTCTTTCAATGAGTAAATAGTGGATTTTAAAACGAGTTTTGCCTGCTGGATCTGGGTCGAGTCTCTCTTTTTTCCTGTGACAAGAAAGGCGTGGCGGGCAGTAGACTCATGAGAGTATTGCGCCTCTTTGATGCAATCTTTTCCACTTGCAGGGGAAAGGAAATGAACGAGAAAAAGAAAGAAAGAAAGCGCAACGCAGGTGGGAAAATGTGACATGCCATGCCATGTCATCAAGAAACCACTCCCTGTTAAACCACTGCAGTCAACCAGTTCATACCCCACACCACACCGCACCACACCGCACCACACCGCACCACACCCCACCACATCACACCACATACTTCTCGTTTGAAGTCATTCGTGAGAATCTTGGCGCGCTTCACAGCCCACACCACCGAGTCATCAGACGGGCACACCCCCCGATACACCTCCCCGTACCCGCCCGTCCCTATGTGGTTTGCCTCCGCCCATCCCCCCGTCGCCTTCTTGACTTGCTGTAGAGAGTATCGCCGACACATGAGGATCTGGCTGGGGATGGGAGGAGGTTCGGGCTTCTCTGCACGGGTAAAGGTAGGGACGAGGGCACGGGGTGAGAGTGGGGAGAGCGGGGAGGGAGAAGGGGGGAGAAGAGTGCGCGTTGGGAGGGTGCAAGGAGGGAGGGTGGGGCACATGTGGTGTGCCTCCGCTCATCCCCCAGTCGCCTTCTTGACTTGCTGCAGAGAATATCGCCGACCCATGAGCGCCTGGCCGGGGATGGGAGGACGTCCAGGCTTGCCTGCATGCACAAAAAGCACAGGCAATGGGGTGGGAGTGGGTACGGACTTTGCTCCAATGTGATTCGCCTCTGCCCATCTTTCCGTTGCCTTCTTGACTTGGTCGAGAGAGAAGCGCCGACACATGAGCACGTGGCTTGGGATGGGAAGAGCCTCGGGCTTGCCTGCACACACACGAGAGTGGGGGACAGGCAAGGGGGATGGGGATGGGACAGGGTACTTGACTTGGTTGAGCGAGAACCGTGAGACAAGGGGGATGGGACAGGGGGCACAAGTCGTCTTGACTTGGTTGAGCGAGAACCGTGAGACAAGGGGGATGGGACAGGGGGCACAAGTCGTCTTGACTTGGTTGAGCGAGAACCGTGAGACAAGGGGGATGGGACAGGGGGCACAAGTCGTCTTGACTTGGTTGAGCGAGAACCGTGAGACAAGGGGGATGGGACAGGGGGCACAAGTCGTCTTGACTTGGTTGAGCGAGTAGCGCCGACACATGAGGACCTGGCTTGGGATGGGGATGAGGGTGAAGCAGTAGGAGTAGGAGTGGTGCACCGCACACTTGCACACTCTTAGACACACAACACACACACGCACTCACACACACTCTTACACACACACACACACACCTTTGGAGGAGCAGCGGAACCAGAGATAGAGGCCAAGCGCACCCAGCAGCAGCAGTGCAACTGCCCCCACAGCGATTCCGACAATGAAGCCCTGGCGAGAGGTGGGCGCGGATGAGTCAGGAGCAGGAGGAGGAGGAGGAGCAGCGGCTGGGCTTGTGGGTGCTGCTGCAGGTGAAAAGAACAAGCACAGGGCCAGGCCAGCAAGAGGGACAGATCGCAATGAGCACCAGCGAGCAGTGCTGTCTGATTTGAGAATGCTTTTGACATGAGACGCTGTGCTGTGCTGTGCTGTGCTGTCTTGAGGTATCTCAAAGCATGAATCTTGAGGCACGAGTTTTGAGGCACATAAAAGCTCATAATTGGAGTGATACGAGTGTCGGCTACTACAAGGCGGGGCAGGTCTGGCAGAATTGAGATGAGGGGGTTCGCCACACACCAGTGAGAGAATGGCTTGCTGGTTACCACCAACTACTTACATTTGTTACCTTGTTACAGTGTTACCTACCTGGCATGGGTGGCAGAGCAGCAGTGGAGCAGTTGGTACAGAAGGAAGGGCAGGTCTGGCGGAAGAGAGAGGACTGAGTCCGCCTCTTTTGAGGCGCCTCAAAAGCAGTGGAGCAGACTTTTGAGGCGCCTCAAAAGCAGTGGAGCAGACTTTTGAGGCGCCTCAAAAGTTGGTGCAGAAGGAAGGGCAGGTCTGGCGGAAGAGAGAGGACTGAGTCTACCTCTGCCCTGCCTCTGACGTGTGCTAAATCCTTTCCTTACCTTGCTGCTGCCATGTTACAGTTTTACCTGGCTTGGGCGGAAGGGCAGCAGTGGAGCAGTTGGCACAGAAGGCGGGGCAGGTCTGGCAGAATTGGGAGGAGGGGTCCTGCCACACGCCCATGGGGGGCGGCCGGCTGCTGAGGGGCATGTGACCATGTCACCTTGAACCCTTGTTACCTGGAGGAGCCCCTCTCACCTGGCTTGGGAGGCAGGGCAGCAGTGGAGCAGTTGGTGCAGAAGGCGGGGCAGGTCTTGCAGAACTCAGAGGAGGCGTCCTGCCACACGCCACACGGGGGGTGCCCTGCTGCTGAGGGGCACGTGAGGTCCGTTCCGCCTATTTTGCTGTGGTGGGCGTAGAGTTTAAAGAGTAGGAGGGTGTGAGTTGGACAAAACTCAGAGGAGGCGTCCTGCCACACGCCACACGAGGGGTGCCCTGCTGCTGACGGGCACGTGAGGTCCGTTCCGCCTATTTTTCATTGTTTGAAGTGAAGGGGGGTATCGAGGGAACAGAGGGGCCAAATTAGACAGGAAGTCAAGGCAAGGGCGAGTACTGGAGGGAGGGGGTCTGCCCACACTACATAGGGGGGTCTCCCAAACATCAAACCCAGCTGCTGGCCTATTTTGCTTATGAGTCGACTCAAAAGTCTCCTCGGGTCTGCCCACACTACATGGGGGGTGGCCAGCTGCTGGGGGGGGAATGTCCCCTCATTCTCCACCTACTCTATTTTGCTGCGTTTGATGTTTGGGAGATTGCGGGAGTAGAGTGGGGAGAGTGAGGGAGAAAACGTAGGTGGAGGGGTAAGAGAAGGGCGGGCACAGGGGGTCCCCTGCCACACGGCAGGGTGCCTCCTCTGAGTCTGGCAGGGGATCGCCTAACTGAGGCGGCACAGGGGGTCCCCTGCCACACGGCAGATGCAGCGTCGGCTGCTGCTGAGTGAGTGTGATGTGAAGAAGCGCGTGTGTGAGTGTGATGTGAAGAAGCGCGTGTGTGCCAGTGGATACACAAGCGTGTGTGCCAGTGGATACACAAGCGTGTGTGCCAGTGGATACACAAGCGTGTGTGCCAGTGGATACACAAGCGTGTGTGCCAGTGGATACACAAGCGTGTGCTTAGCTTACAGGTGACTTTTGAGTCGACTCAAAAGTCGCGTCGGCTGCTGCAGAGCTGAGTGAGTGTGACGTGAAGAAGCGTGTGTGAGTGTGACGTGAAGAAGCGTGTGTGAGTGTGACGTGAAGAAGCGTGTGTGAGTGTGACGTGAAGAAGCGTGTGTGAGTGTGACGTGAAGAAGCGTGTGTGAGTGTGACGTGAAGAAGCGTGTGTGAGTGTGACGTGAAGAAGCGTGTGTGAGTGTGACGTGAAGAAGCGTGTGTGAGTGTGATGTGAAGAAGCGTGTGTGAGTGTGACGTGAAGAAGCGTGTGTGAGTGTGACGTGAAGAAGCGTGTGTGAGTGTGACGTGAAGAAGCGTGTGTGAGTGTGATGTGAAGAAGCGTGTGTGAGTGTGACGTGAAGAAGCGTGTGTGAGTGTGACGTGAAGAAGCGTGTGTGAGTTGTGACGTGAAGAAGCGTGTGTGAGTGTGACGTGAAGAAGCGTGTGTGAGTTGTAACGTGAAGAAGCGTGTGTGAGTGTGACGTGAAGAAGCGTGTGTGTGCGCTTCTTCACACTCACGCCAGTGAGTATGCCAGTGGATAGATAATCACGCGTGCGCTTAGCTTACAGGTCAGTGAGGGAGGAGAGATTCCCAAGGGTGGGGGGAAGAGCGCCCCGTAACTGATTGTTAGACACGTCACTGGTGATTGGGAGAAAGGGGGGGGGGGAGGTGGAAGGAGAATTGGGAGATGTGGAGGAATGGGGATTGGGGTGGCGGGAAGAGCGGCCCGGAACTGATTATTAGACACGTCACTGGTGATTGGGAGAAAAGGGGGGGAGGTGGGAAGGTGGAAGGAGAGGAGAGGGGGGTGGATTGAGTGTTGAGTTGCCTGTCCCAATGGTGGCTGGAAGAGCGGCCCGGAACTGGTTGTTGGACTCGTCTCTGGTGATGGTGGGGGGGGGAGAGAGGGGGAGAGGGAGAGAGGCGGAAGGAAAGGTGGGTGGAAATGGGGCGAAGGGGGATTGGGGTGGCGGGAAGGGCGCCCCAGAACTGGTTGTTGGACTCGTCTCTGGTGATGGTGGGGGGTAGAAGGGGAGAAGGGCGGAGAGATGAGGGGGAAAAGAGGAGGGAACGAGTTTTGAGGGATACGGGGAACGAGTTTTGAGCGCCCCAGAACTGGTTGTTGGTTAGACACGTCTCTGGTGATGGCGAGAAAGAAGAAGGGGGGAGGGGGGGGGTATGGGGTGAGATGGGAAGGAAACGAGGAGTGAGGAACGAGTTTTGAGGAGGAGGGGGAAGAGCGCCCCAGAACTGGTTGTTGGACTCGTCTCTGGTGATGGGGAAAAAGAGGGGGGAGGGCGAGTGGGGGAAGTGGAAGGAGAGGAGAGGGGGATGGATCGAGTGTTGAGGTGCCTGTCACAAAAGTATGCCGCGGAACTGGTTGTTGGACTCGTCTCTGGTGATGGGGAAAAAGGGGGGGGGAGGGCGAGTGGGGAAAGTGGAAGGAGAGGAGAGGGGGATTGAGAGGAGAGGAGAGTGTTGAGGCGCCTGTCACAAAAAGCGCAGCAGAACTGATTGTCGCTGGTGAGTGGGGATTGGGGGAGGAGAGGGGGAGGGGGGAGGAAGGGGAAGAGGGGAGAAGGGGGAGGGGAGGAGAAGGGAAGGGAGCGCTGTAACACATCAGGTGGGCAGCACAGGCACTCCTGGGGCAGCACAGGCACTCCCGGGGCAGTGTCCCTAACCGTACACACCGTTACGTTATTATTATGATTTGACCGTGATATAAGCGTGGCACGATGATGACACATACAGCGTGTTCAGGCTGATGAGTGCTCCCAGCTGAGAGGGTATGGAGCCTCCTAGCGTGTTGCCCTGTAGCCCGCTGATAAAGGGGACAGGGGGGATAGGGGGGGACGGAACGGAGGAGGGGAAGAGAGAAGGAAAGGGGCAACTGAGTGCTCCCAGCTGAGAGGGTATGGAGCCTCCTGGCGTGTTGCCCTGTAGCCCGCTGGTGATGGAGACAGCGAGGAGAAGGGGGAACGGAAGGGAGGGGGGGAGGAGAGAAGGAAGGGGTTACTGAGTGCTCCCAGCTGAGAGGGTATGGAGCCTCGTAGCATGTTGCCCTGTAGGCCGCTGGGGGAGGAGACACAGGGGGAGAGTCCCAGGGTGATACGCGCAGTGAGGTTGAGGCAACTTAAGAGGGGTGGTAAGAGCGTTGGGAGAGTTACAGGGTGATAAGAGCAGGTTTTAAGGCAGCTCAAGAGGGGTGATGAGAGCGTTGGGAGACTCACAGGCTGATGAGAGCAGTGAGCTGCCCAAGGGAAGTCGGCAGAGAGCCCGTGAAGTAGTTCCTCCCCAGCTCCCTGCACACACACAGGGGCAGGCAGGTTGGCAGATGATTTGACGCAAACCAACGGCGAGTGCGACTAGAGCGAGAAAGATTGCCAAGGGAGCGACTATTGCGAGAGAGACGGCTCACTGGCAGCAAATAATACGCTCAACACCCTCACAAGCCACGCTCGTGGATGGTAGATTGCCAAAGAAGCAGTTGCTAGGCATGGTATTTACTTGCTCACACACGTGTTGCCAACAATGCGTTGAATTTTGAGGCGCCTCAAAAGCCAAAGAAGCAGTTGCTAGGCATGGTATTTACTTGCTCCCACCTGTTCCCAACAATGCCTTTCACTGCCTGCTTACACGCGAGTGAGGCTTGTGAGGTTGCCGAGAGTGGTTGGTAACTCGCCAGAGAAGCGGTTGTTCACCATGTTGCTGTAGGAGTGGGATGGGGTGCGGTGTGGTGGGATGGGATGGGATGGGATGGGGTGGGATGGGGTGGGTTGGATCCACACCTTTGAAGAGTTCCGAGACATGTCAAAGCTCAAAACCACGAGGCAACCTAACCCGACGTAAAGCATTTTTGAGTCGACTCAAAAGTCGCATTTTTGAGTCGACTCAGAAGTCGCATTTTTGAGTCGACTCAGAAGTCGCATTTTTGAGTCGACTCAGAAGACACATTTTTTAGTCGACTCAGAAGTCGCATTTTTTAGTCGACTCAGAAGTCACATTTTTTAGTCGACTCAGAAGTCACATTTTTTAGTCGACTCAGAAGTCGCATTTTTTAGTCGACTCAGAAGTCACATTTTTTAGTCGATTCAGAAGTCACCTTTGGAGAGTTCCGAGACATGTCAACGCTCAAAACCACGAGGCAACCTAACCCAACGTAAAGCATTTTGAAGGAGCCTATGGCGCTCCATGCCTTTTTGTTTGGCGAAAGCTTACGCTCGCACTGGAGGACAACATAACATACCTGCACTGCACTGCACTGCAATGCATGCATGGGACGCGTCAGAACTCAAAACAACAAGGCAACCTACCTAGCCTAGCTACCCCAACGTACAGCATCTGAAGGCCGCTGAGGGCGCTGGCAAATACGGGCAGGGGGGCATGTGATTGCATGCACGTGGTTCCACATGGTTACATGCGGTTGCACATGGTTGCACATGGTTACATGCGGTTGCACATGGTTGCACAGGGGCAAGCTACCACAACGTACAGCATCTGAAGGCCGCTGAGGGCGCTGGCAGAGAGAGGCAGGGAACCCGTGAGCGAATTCTCCGAGACATCCCTGCAGAGCAGGCATGAAGGGGTAGGGGTGGGGTGAGAAGATAGGTGATGAGGGTAATGAGATGATGTTAGGATTGAATCAGAGGGCGCTGGCAGAGAGAGGCAGAGAAACCATGAGAGAGTTGCAATTGCACGGGGAGAAGTGTCAGGGGAGAGAAAGAGGGAGGGAAGGGCGGGAGGGAGTGAGAGAATAGGGAGTGAAGGGAGAGAAGATGTGAGAGCAGAGAGGGAGCAAAGCGAGAGAGGTAGTGAGCGGGAGTGATGCAAAAGGGGGAATAGAGGGAGGCTGGTGAGCGTGTGGATGGAGGTGGGAAGAGGCTTAAAGTTGACTCAAAAAGTGAGGGAGCGAGGGGAGAGAGAAGGCGTACATCTCTTGCAGGCTGGTGAGGGTGTAGATGGAGGTGGGATGGGAACTCTGTACAACCGCTGCGTCAACTCAACAGGTGAGAGGGAGTGAAGCAGGTATGAGAGTCGTACATCTCTTGCAGGCTGGTGAGGGTGTAGATGGAGGTGGGAAGCGATCCGCTGAAGTTGTTGCGGGCAACGTTGCTGCGAGCAAGGGCGAACAGGGGGTTGGTGTCCGTTATGGGTAGCGGAGAGTCTTCAATCAGGTAAAGGACGATTTCAGTTCAAAATGGGGAAAAAAAAAAAAAAAATGGAGAAGGGGGGGTTGAGGGGGAGCGGGCGGGAAGAGGGGGGCGGGCAGGGGTGCGGTGATGGAGTAAGTCGGGAGAGACTGGATGGAAGGGGAGGGAGAGAGGAAAATTGGGGTGGGTGGAAAAAAAGGGCGGGCAAATCTGTAACAAGGCAACACTAGAATTCGCCTGTGATACACACACATTCTGCAGCACTGCAGCAGTGCAGTGCAGTCTTTGTGCTACCCTGGGCCCACTTTTGAGGCGCCTCAAGAATCTGTAAGAAGGCAACGCTAGGAAACGCCTGTGATACACACACATTCTGCAGCACTGCAGCACAGCAGTGCAGCCTTTGTGCTACCCTGGGCCCCTGGCACCTCCATTTTCAGATTGCATGAAAAAACAGTGCCGAATGATCAGCATAAGCACCACCACTTACATAAGCTTGATATTTGAGAGGGTTCCAACGGGGTATAAAAGCGGCCCAGACAAGTTGTTGGTGTTCACATCACTGAAACGGATGGGGAGTGAGGGGGAGGTGGGGAGTGGGGGAGAAAGAATCAAGGGGTGGTAGGGGGAAAAAAGGGGCAAGTGGGGAAAAAAAGAGGCCCCAGACCCAGACAAGTTGTTGGTGTTAACTTCACTGAAACGGATGGGGAGTGAGGGGGAGAAAGAGTCAGGGGGTGGTAGGGGAAAGGGCCAAGAGGGTAATGAAGCGGCCCGGACAAGTTGTTGGTGTTCACATCACTGAAACGGATGGGAAGTGAGGGGGGAGTGGAGAGTGGGGGAGAAAGAGTCGGGAGAGGGTAGGGGGAAGAGGCAAGCGGGTAAAAAGAGGGGCCAAGACGGGTAGGTGAGAGGGGAGGAGGAAGGGGCAAGCGACGCGGGAGAGATCAGGCCAGCCAGGGGCATGAGATGCCAGCTGAACACTTTGCGAGAGAGTTTTGAGAAATTTAAAAGACCTCTCACAGTGGGTGGGAGGCAGGATGAAGAAATGAAGGGATGAGAGGATGGATTGAGCTGAGCTCACTCACAACATCTGGAGACTGGCCAGGCAAGAGAGCGTGGGGTGAACGAAGGGATGGATGGATGGATGGATGGATGGATGGATGGATGGATGGATGGATGGATGGATGGATGGATGGATGGATGGATGGATGGATGGATGGATGGATGGATGGATGGATGGATGGATGGATGGATGAAGGACCGATGGAGAGGTAAGAAGATGAAGGGATGAGCGGATGGATTGAGTGTCAAACTATACTGATGGCACTCACAACATCTGGAGACTCGCCAGGCGAGAGAGCGTGGGGGGAAAATATCCTGTGAGTTGGTTCTGCTGGAGGTTGCTGCATGTCAGAGAGGGCAGCAAGAGAGGCAGTCAAGGGGAACAGCTTGAGATAACTGGCGAGGCGAGGGGAAGCTTTTAAGTCGACTCAAAACCGCGTGTAATGAGTCTGCTTTTGAGTCGACTCAAAACCGTGTGTAATGAGTCTGCTTTTGAGTCGACTCAGAGAGGGCAGCAAGGGTGGCAGTCAAGGGGAACAGCTTGAGATAACTGGCGAGGCAAAGGGATAAGTCACAGGAGGCTGGCTACGCAAGAGAGAGTGTGACAGGAGGCTGGCAACGCAGGAGGCTGGCAACGCAAAAGGCGCCTCAAAAGATAACTGGCGAGGCAAAGGGATAAGTCACAGGAGGCAGGCAGCGCAAGAGAGAGTGTGCGGCGGGAAAGTGTTCTCTTCTGAGACGTTTCTGCTGGAGGTTGCGTACAAAGCAAGTCAGAGAGGGGCAAAAAAGGAAAAGAGGAGACAGCTGTGGAGGCAAGACGCTTCTTGAAAGAAAAAGCTTCCGTACTGAGGCGGTTCTGTGGAAGGTTGCAGTGTGTCATGACAGAGAGGGGGGAATAACTCAGCAGCACTACTCACAAGACGGCCAGTCTTGCAAGGTTGCCAAGGCTGGTGGGAATCGAGCCTGATAGCGAGTTGTTGGCCATGTCACTAACGAGGATGGAACAGGAAAAGGGGGGAGGGTGTAAATCTTGGAACAAGGATCAAGGGCTCAACTGCTAAGAGTCTAGGAAGTGCCAGCCTCAATTGCTCAGAGTCGAGGAACTGCCAGCCTCAACTGCTTATCAAGGCAACGCCGTACGGTGGTGAGAGGAAACACGACCACCACCACGACCACGTGTGCGTACATCGTTCAAGGCACAGATTTTTGAATCATCTTAAGGCGTTTTCACGAAACAGTATACCAAGAGTGCTCTTATATGTTCTCATCCGCCCACTTCCAAAGCCTGATACCTTTGTGTCGGTCAAACCTCAAACGTACATCTTTACTAGCGAAGTGAGGAGCCCTATATTGGAGCAGATGGATCCAGAGATGCCCTTATCGCGGATGACACTAAAGGGGATGGCAGTGGAGCGGGAGAACAAGGGCGGAGTGAGAAAGGATAGGTGAAGGGAAGATAAGGGAATAAGGGCGGATTGGAGCGGAACGGAGCGACAGCCGAGCATTTCGTGTTCCGCTGTTCGGTCACTCACCTCATGTTACTGCCATACCATGCCATGCCATGCCATTTCACACCATGCCATGCCATGCCATGTCACACCATGCCATGCAATGACACACTCACATGCCGTTGACAGTCCCATCAGGGTCACACGTGAGCCACGTGTCAATGTTGCACGGTGCGCCAGGATACCACATGCCATCTGGCACCCCCATCTCTTTGCCACATCTCTTCAGAATCGCGCCTGCAAAAAAGTGGGCGGGTGGGTGGCATGTCGGTTAGTTGGATGGAAGACGAGCAAAGGACAATAACCGCACTGTAACGCCTGTGGGCTAAGTGCTAATGGGCATTCCGCTGCGCCAGCGAGGTGTTATACTGGAATCAGAGCCTGGGGTTCAATTCCAGGCTGATCCACATTTTCCGCCTGTGGCGAGGACTTGAATGTGGTTACCAGATTGGACACAGCGAACGATCCTCTGCTGGCCTGACCTCACCAGCGAAGTCGCTGCCTGGAGCACAGCGAATACGTCCCTGCGGGGGCCGACTCCCTGAAGTTCGTCAACGAGGACGTTGACACCAGGGGGGGACGAGTGTAACGCCTGTGGGCTAAGTGTTAATGGGCATTCCGCTGCGCCAAATAACACCCTCGTTTTGACCCAGTGGGTAGCGAGGTGTTATACGCACACTCTCTAAGGCCCCTCGACACACCACATGCCTCAAATCTCCTCCCTTTTTCCATATTCACCAACCACTTTCCTCAGCTTCCCAAGGACCCTCAATACTCCGACACACCTTGCTCAGCTGTCACATTCACCGCTGCACCCCTGTGTTACGAATTTTCTAGCAGAGTCAAAAAGCTCTCCCAAATTTCCCACCGATTTCCTCACCGTCCCAATGACCGTCAAGCCGCAGCCTCACCTTGTTCCGCTGTCACATTCACCGGCGCACCTCCCCCCTGTCCTCCGCTTGCCTCCCCTCCCCCGGGCGCTCCCCCTTCCCCTGGCGGGCCTCCGCCGGACGGCGGCGGCCCGCCTCCCCCCGGGGGCCCGCTCGCGGGTCCTTGCGCCGGCAGCTGCACTGGCGGAGACCCATTCTCCGAGGGAGGGACGCTCCCCGAAGGGCCGTTTGCGGAAGCCTGGTTCCCAAAGTACCCGTAAGGGGAACCGTTCCCAGAGGGCGTGTTCCCAGAGGGCGCGTTCCCAGGAGGTGCAACGGGTACGGTCCCCAGAGACATGTTCAACGCCTGTAAGAACCGCGCTTTCCTAGGAATGTTTCCGCTCCCAGAGCCCTGCGATTTCCTTGGACTAATTTTGATTCCAGAGGCATGTCCGGCGAAAAGGCTACTAGTAAGCAGCAGCCACGCGCAGACGACGAGAGCGAGAGGCAGACGAGGAGTTAACCGGAGATCAATGTACCCGCGACGATGATTTTGTGGTAGTGAGACGAATGGCGACTCGAAGAAGAAGCACTGGCGATTATGACGGTCCGCCATTTTAATCGCGAATATGAACAGCCGTTGTATGCAAGAGCAGAGAAGCGACGTGCTGGCTTATGAAAAGGGATACGCTGTGGAAGAACGGATTAGTGAGCCGCCTTGTCTGGACTCCGAGTTGTTGTGCTTGACGTGGCGGCGTTGCGACAAGTCGTCGCGCTTCAGCCTGAAGGGGCTGGTTCAAAATTAACGAAAGTTTCGTCGACGCGCCGCGTGAGAAAAGCCAATCTCGAGGAGGAAAAGAACAAATGACACGTCAATGCCAAGGCGGTATGTCGGTGACACTGTAAATGTCGACTTCTAAAGCTGTCTCTGTTCCAAGGCTCCTCACAAAAAAAGGCGCTCGACGGTAGTCAACGATAATCGAACTGTACTCGCACGTGCAAGGACGGAACTGCGTCTCGTTAAGAGCAGCAAAAACGAGGTCAGTCAGCAATCGCGCTTCGGATGTCGGATGAGAAACAGCATCGTTTGCGCTGCTTTTGGGACAAATGAAGCGCAACAAAGTTGTGCGCAAAAAACAGATTAATCTGTCCGGCGTGAACTGACCGATGAGAAATCTAGGGTTACACCGAAGCGTTCCGTTCCAAACTGAAGGCTGGCTGAGAGAGTGACACTCATAAGAGTGACGAGGAAGTTAAGGACGGCACGACATACAGGCGGGAAAACTCCTCTTCCTCCTCACCTCCCTCAGTCCTCCTGCCTGACCATCACACCTTGAAAACTGTAGACTGGAAGGTACACAGGATGCTCAACAACTGCATGCGAATTTGGTCCCTCCAGGCTCGACAGCCTGCCCAATTGCAAGTAGTACCAGCCAGTTGCACGCACAATACAAGCCCCAATTTTGATCGCAGCCGTTGAATAGACAGCTTATCACGCTGTCATCCGTCCGTTCGTGAGATATTTTGAAGAAGCTGGTTACAATTCTTCACCTGCCCACTACAGTCCCGATTTTTCCCGTGGCGAAGGTTGGCGAGAAAGCGAAACAGAGTTGCTCACTAAACACCCACGTGACGGGAGAAGTTGTGGGAGTCAAACGCGCTTCCTGTGTATTGGTTTGCGTTGCAAGAGGTTTGTTGCTGCTGTTGCTGTCCCGCATTACCGAGGGCAACGGCAAAATCTATCGTCAGCTCAGTCGCCAATAAAGGTTACCAGCAGCATTTATCGCCAAGCACGTGGCTGGTGGGGATTCAGATTTTGTCATGGATGGGAATGAAACGCCTGATGCGAGTTTGTCAGCCTGAATGCTTCGCCATTGGGGGATGACTCTTTTGTTCAGCTCTCAGGTTCCTGACGTGCTGCAGGCGAGCCTCGCTGGTTGGTCAGTCTGGAGCTTCGGACAGCAAACCTGGGTTACGCACGAATAAGGGCACCTCACGACTAGTTCACGAGACAGTTACAAGATGCCGCGAGCTCTCGTGAACACACGCTTGCACCCCTCCAGACCAGAACCTCAGCCAAAATAGGCTTGTGCACGCCTCGCTCATGCCTAACCTGATTTCACTTTCTGAACCCAATCATCCCTCCAAGGCCTCACCGACAAAAAGTAAAAAGCTTCTGTACCGTTCTGGAGGCATAAAGCACCACATTGTAACGCTCGTTTGATAATGCAACGCAAAATCTCCTACTGTAAAGCACCTCTGGTGAAGTGTTGCGCGGCGGTGAGTGCTGTTGTTCCTACAGCAGCTCAGGAATCAGGATATCGGGGGCCTGTTAGCACTTACAGACCTTTCTTTAGACCGTCGCGAAGCAAGACTCTGCATATGTGAAAGCGGTAGATGCTTATTACTGCTATAGTGATGCTGCTACTTGCCTCTTAGGCTAGACATCAGTCGTCGCGGCCTGAAAGTCGAGTCCGCGTGCTAGTAGGCGGCATGGACGACGCTTCGCAGTGCAGAACGCGCTCGCAGAATGTGTTAAACTTTAAAAATGGAGATGCTAGCAGCGCATCTAGACCGAGGCAGCAGCAGCAGCGTTTGCGTCATACATCCACTGCTAATCGCCATGACTGCCAGAAAGCAGTAACCGTCGGGGATCTAGAATGTCAACGGCGTCGAAGCGGTATCTGCGCATGTCGCGTATTCCGGCGCAGAGGACGGCAATCCCTAGCTTCGTTAGCACGTGTCTCGTTGCTCCTGCCGCTCCTTGTCTGCTCGATCGTTTTTACTTCTTCGCCAGTTTCCGTAGCCGTCGTCTTGGAGCAAGAGCAAGGTTTGTGCTTGTATCGCCGCGGTCTTGTGTCGCGCGTGCCTTTATCCGTTTCGAGTGTGATTTAATTTCATTCGGTACACACAGACAGGGCTTGTGAAATCATCTCAAAAGTACCTTGAGCGTGATTTCAAAAGCGCTGCACGACACCATTCCTCTTAATAATTCTCCATTGACTCACGTTGATGCTTCATTGATTAATCATTTTCCGGTTCTCCCTCGTCATCCCCGCCACTGTTCCCTGGGTGTCCAGGTAAGGTATTGGCGGAATGTGCGGTGGAGTTGGGTGCGACGGATTACAACTGGGAACCGAACGCTCCGTGCACGACGGACGAAGGCCTGGTGTGCAACGCTGACGGAACAGTCAACACTATGTGAGTTATCCACAGAGACGAACCAGCACTTTATACGCGTTATAGATTCGCAGTGGAGATGAATCTGATCGGCTAATCCTATCATCAGCGGACCTGTGCGTCGTCGACCTGTGAACAGTGAAACGGTATATCGTGTATGCACATACACTAGGCAGTAAGCAAACAAAACACTCTGCGCTCTGTGCTTTGAAGGGTCGGGGAAAAGAGATAAATCTGTCTGTCCTGTTACATCCTTCTGACGAACGCTCGTTTCGGAACGCATAAGCTCCGTTGAAATGCAGCAACCCAACCTAAAACACGCACGGACCAAATTGCACTTTTGTGATGCATTTTGAGACGGCGCAAAATGGAAAATGCATACACATGTGACATTCTGTCTCCGTCCCCTTAACTCGCTCTTGTTCTCTCAAGTTTTTGCTGCATGCTTACTTCCCCTTCCTGTTTTTGCTGTTCCCTTGTTGCTGCTTGCAATGCCCTGCAGTGACTTGTCTGGTACTGGTCTGGAAGGAAGCATCTGCTCCGTTATAGGCAACCTCACTACGCTAGTTACACTGTGAGAGTTGCTTATGATGTTTCAATTCAGAAATTAGGGTTCTCCGTCTTCTGCGAGCGAGCATATGCCAGCCAGCTCACCCTGCCCCTTCACCTTGCCACACTTATTCCCTGCTCCCTCGCCTTGCCTCACACTCCCTCGGCCCCCCACTTTCCCTCCCCCACCCCCCGTCCTGCCACCAGCGATCTGAGGAGCTACAACTCGTTGTCAGGCCCCATCCTTGCAAGCATCGTGCCACTCCCCCCGCCGCTCCCCCAGCATCTGCTTGCCACTCACTCCCCTCCCCCCTCCCCTCTCCACTGCCCCCCTCTTCCCCCACCGCGACCCTGCCACCAGCGATCTGAGCTACAACTCGTTGTCAGGCCCCATCCCTGCCAGCATAGGGCAGCTTCCCCTGCTGCAGAGGCTGTGAGAGAAGGGGGGGGGGGGGGGGGGGGGGGAGGGAAGGGAGGAAGGGATATCAGTGAGCTGGGTACGGGGTGGAGGGGGGGATGCGGGAATAAAACAAAGGTTTGGATCAAGCTTCGGTCGGGCCCCATCCCTGCAGAGGCTGTGAGAGAGAGAAAGGGGGGGAGGGAAGGGAAGGGGTATGAGTAAGCTGGAGAAAGGCACGCGTGTTACCAGAAAGCTGATTGCTGCTCTTGCCCCTATATTGGTATGACTTTTGAGAATTCTCAAAAGCCTCTTCCCTTAGGCACTCAATCTCTTCATCCCCCATCCCCAATCCTACCACCAGCGATCTGAGCTACAACTCGTTGTCAGGCCCCATCCCTGCCAGCCTAGGGCAGCTTCCCCTGCTGCAGACACTGTGAGGAAAAAGGGGGAGGAGGAAGGGGGGGTCGTTATCGGGGAAGAGGGGAGAGTGGAGGGGAAATGGATGCGGTGTTTGGCGGATGGGAAGGATTGGATGATGCACTATCTGATCTTATTGTTCTCCCCCCATCTCCCTATCTCTCCCTCGCACTCTCCCTCTACTCACTCTCCCTATCTCTCCCTCGCACTCTCCCTCTACTCTCCCTATCTCTTCCTCCACTCACTCTTGTAGCAACCACTCATACAACAAGCGTCCTGGAGAACTCTTTTCTTCCACCATCGGCTTTTGAGGTTCTCCAAAAGAGCTCAAAACTCATCTCTCCCTCCGTCCTTCCTTTCTCTGTCTCGCTCTCCCTCTCCCTCTCCCTCCCTCTCGCTCAGAGCAATCTCTCATGCGACATCCATCCTAGGGGATACGACTTTTGAGGCGCCTCAAAATTCATCCTAAAGGATACCCATTATCACCCTCTGAGGCATCTCAGCAAAACTGAAACCTCATCTCTCCCTCAAAGGGTCCTTTGTACGGATGTGGAGGGTACTGACGTGCAGGTTTTAAGTTTAAACAAACAACAACAATCCCCCTCCCTTCCTATCCCCATCTCTCTGTCTCCTTCCCTCTCCCCAACTCTTTCTCTCCCTCCCTCTCCCACCCTCTTCCCATCTCTCCCTCTCTCTTCCTCTCCCCATTTCTCCCTCTCCCTCCCTCTTCCCATCTCACTCTCTCTCCCCCCCTCTCCCCAACTCTCCCTCTCCATCCCTCTCCCTCTCCCTCGCTCTCCCCATCGCTTCACCCCCCTTCTCCCACTCGCAGCGACCTTTACGTCCTAGAGGCTGCCATGCCTTCCTCCGTCGTCTTTTGAGGCATTTCAGAGGAACTTATAACTCATCCCTCCCTCTCCCTATTCCTCCCTCTCCCCATCCCTCCCTCTCCCTATCTCTCCCTCTCCCCATCTGCCCCCACTTTCTCCACTCTCACAATACAACGATCTAGAGAGGGTGCCTTGCCTTCCACCATCCATCAGCTCTCAGAAGAACTCAGAACCCTTTTTCCACTTCACATCTCCTCCTATCTCTCCCTCTCTCCCTCCCCCCCACGCTCCCACTCACAGCGACCTCTCATACAACGACCTAGACGGTGCCTTGCCTTCCACCATCGCCTTTCAAGGCACCTCAGAAGAACTCTTATCTCTCCCCTATCCCCATCTCCTCCCCCCCTCCTACCGCCTGCAGCGACCTGTCATACAACGACCTAGACGGTGCCTTGCCTTCCACCATCGCCTCCTTATCCAACCTTAAAGTCCTGTACGCGTTTCTGCACTGCCACTATACTGTGTTAAGATAAACGCCATTTGAGATGTCTCAAAGAATAAGTGCCTTGCCTTCCACCATTGCCTCCTTATGCAACCTTAAAGTCCTGTGCGCGTTTCTGCACTGCCACTAAACGGTATGGATTAGAGTTGTCTCAAAAACTAAATGGCTTGTCTTCCACCATCGCCTCCTTATCCACCCTCGAAGTGCATCAGATCCTGTAAGCATTCCTGCCTTTACTGCCACTAACCAAGTTTACTCCCACCATCGGCCTCTGAGGCACCTGTAAAGAACTCAAATCTCATCTCTCTTCATCCCTCTCTTCCTCACTCTCTCCCCCCCCCCCTCGCCCACTCACAGCGACCTCTCATCCAACTTCATTGAGGGTGCTTTGCCTCCCACCATCGGCTCCTTATCCCGCCTTCAAGTCCTGTACACAATTCTTCTCTGCCACCAAACTGTTGAGATATGATTTGAGAGGCCTCGGAATTAGACGCCTTGCCTCCCACCCACCATTGCCTTGCCTCCCACCCACCATTGCCTTGCCTCCCACCCACCATTGCCTTGCCTCCCACCCACCATTGCCTTGCCTCCCACCCACCATTGCCTTGCCTCCCACCCACCATTGCCTTGCCTCCCACCCACCATTGCCTTGCCTCCCACACACCATTGCCTTGCCTCCCACCCACCATTGCCTTGCCTCCCACACACCATTGCCTTGCCTCCCACACACCATTGCCTTGCCTCCCACCCACCATTGCCTTGCCTCCCACCCACCATTGCCTTGTCTCCCACCCACCATTGCCTTGCCTCCCACCCACCATTGCCTTGCCTCCCACCCACCATTGCCTTGCCTCCCACCCACCATTGCCTTGCCTCCCACCCACCATTGCCTTGCCTCCCACCCACCATTGCCTTGCCTCCCACCCACCATTGCCTTGCCTCCCACCCACCATTGCCTTGCCTCCCACCCACCATTGCCTTGCCTCCCACACACCATTGCCTTGCCTCCCACCCACCATTGCCTTGCCTCCCACCCACCATTGCCTTGCCTCCCACCCACCATTGCCTTGCCTCCCACCCACCATTGCCTTGCCTCCCACCCACCATTGCCTTGCCTCCCACCCACCATTGCCTTGCTTCTCCTCCCCTCATCGCAGCGATCTTCTCAACAACCAAATGAATGGAACATTACCCGCGTCTCTGAGTGCGCTGTCCGATTTTAAATTCTTCTTTCCCTTTTGACAAATATCCCAAATACCTGTCAGCAATCTCTGCTTCTCCTCCCCTCATCGCAGCGATTTACTTGACAACCAGATGAATGGAACGTTACCCCCATCTCTGAGTGCGCTCACGAATATGCAGATTCTGTTCGTCACACTCTGCCAACTCTTTCCCAACTCTCTCACACATTCACTTCTCACTCGCTCTCTGGCTCGATCTCCCTCTCACTCACGCTGCTTCTCTCCGCTCAGTCTTTTCATTGAGGCGTCTTTAAATCAAACGTTCCCTCTCTTGGTGTGCTTCCATTAGTCTCATGAAAAAAGGAGTGTTTTGAGACGTCTCAAAACGCTTCCATTAGTCTCAAACCATGACTTGCAACTTCTATCCTCTCCTCTTCAAGAACATCTTGATTTTGTGACGTCTCCAGAACAGTTTATCACTCCTTTGTAGGCGCCTCTCTCCCTCTCAATTCGTCTTCTCTTCGCCATGCACCTTCCTGCTCCTTCCTCTGAAACCACGCTTGCATGCTCCTTCCTTTGAAACCTTGAGAACAAATCCTCTTCTTGCCACCATGCATGCACCAACACCGCTCTTGCTCCCTCAATCAGTGACCTTGGGAACAATACTTTTAATGGAAGCTTCCCAACTGGGCGTGTCAAAACTAACTCAGATCCTCTTCTTGCCACCATTTATGCACCAAACGACCCGTGCTCCCTCAATCAGTGACCTTGGGAACAATACCTTCTCTGGAAGCTTCCCCACTGGCGTGTCAAAACTAACTCAGCTCTCGTTCCTGTAAGTGTCACCTGCGCTGCACTAACAATCTCTTGTATCAAACATGGGACCACAGTGGCGAGACTTGATTCATCAGGTTAGATGCAATATTGTTCCTTTGGCCCTTTGTTCCGTGTTTTCCTTTCTGGTCTTCATTGCAAGCAAACCTATCCTCCCTTTTTTTTTTTTTTTTTTTTTACCAGAGTTCGGCTACGAAAAAATGGGCCTTTTTTTAGTTAAATAATTATATCTATATTTAGTGCAAAACTGGCAGTAGAAAACGGGCTGCATCTTACGTATGTGCCCAGTTTGTGAGTGACATGTGCCAGATTTGTCACTGGCTTGCTTGTGACTGGCTCGTTGTGACTGACAAGTGATGTATGCCGGACGTGCTTTGCAGGTCGCTCTTTTACAACAAGTTTGAAGGATCGGTTCCCTCGTCCATCTCTCGCCTCTCAAAGCTTCAAGCATTGTACGCGAAGAATACGCCGAGAATGCGTCTGCAACAAAGAATCTACAGCTTTTAGCTACAGCTAGAAACTACAGCTGAAAGCTACAGCTAGAAACTACAGCTGAAAGCTACAGCTAGAAACTACAGCTGAAAGCTACAGCTAGAAACTACAGCTGAAAGCTACAGCTAGAAACTACAGCTGAAAGCTACAGCTAGAAACTACAGCTGAAAGCTACAGCTAGAAACTACAGCTGAAAGCTACAGCTAGAAACTACAGCTGAAAGCTACAGCTAGAAACTACAGCTGAAAGCTACAGCTAGAAACTACAGCTGAAAGCTACAGCTAGAAACTACAGCTGAAAGCTACAGCTAGAAACTACAGCTGAAAGCTACAGCTAGAAACTACAGCTGAAAGCTACAGCTAGAAACTACAGCTGAAAGCTACAGCTAGAAACTACAGCTGAAAGCTACAGCTAGAAACTACAGCTGAAAGCTACAGCTATTGTGTGCCATACCCCAGTGCCCCACTGTGTATTTCTATGAGGCACGCCTCTCAAATCCCAGTTCAAAGCATTGTGTGGACGTCCGTTGACCTCTGCTGCCCTGTGTTGACCTCTGTTGACCCTCTGTTGACCTGCGTTGACCTTTGTTGTTCTATTCCTGTGCACCTTTGGTGCAGCAATTTGGGTGGAAACGTCAACTTTGAGGGAGAAATCCTTCCAACAGTAGCAACCCTCAGCAGCTTGGCTGTTGTGTAAGCAAGCCCCTTCCGTTCACACATTGCTGACTAACAAAGCTTTAATTGTAAGAAGGTCGCTTAACTCCTTAAAGGTGGAAACTACAACTTTGAGGGGGGGATCCTTCTGGCAGGCAGTAGCACCCCTTAGCAGCTCAGCGGTTGTGTAAGCATGTCCCCTGTAGTAACCCACATTGCTGATTACGGTAGCAAATGTTTTTCTGCAGCAAGGTCGCTTAACTGTGGGTGGACCGTGGACTGTGGGTCGCTTAACTGGGTCGCTTAACATCAACACTGCGGGAGAGGCACAGGGGTTATGAATTCAATCAGCCCTTTTGGATCTGAAGTGTTTGACTTTTGAGTCGACTCAGAAGGCACAGGGGTTTTGAATTCAATCAGCCCTTTTGGATCTGAAGTGTTTGACAAGCAACCCTGGGCCCAGTGACCCCGAATACAAGACAATTTTTAGGTGCCTAAAAAATCCTTTTCACGAAATACAATACAGCTTCGTTGGGTGCATTCGCCATGCATACAGAAACTCTCAGGCGCTTTCTCTCTCATCTCACTCTTCTCTCTCTTCTCAACCCCCTCTCTGTTCTCTCTACTCCCTCTCAACTAGTTATCCAGTTCCATCCCTGCACATTGCACGGGATCCCTCTGTACCAGCCGTTTTTCACTCTCTTCTCACTCGCTTCTCTCAACAACGCCGTCCCTCCAGCGACCTTGCTTACAACAAGTTCTCTGGCTCCCTCTGCACCTGCATAAATCTTCTCTGCGGGAGAAGATTTACAAGAAGTTCTCTGGCTCCCTCTGCACCTGCATAAATCTTCTCTGCGGGAGAAGATTTACAAGAAGTTCTCTGGCTCCCTCTGCACCTGCATAAATCTTCTCTGCGGGAGAAGATTTACAAGAAGTTCTCTGGCTCCCTCTGCACCTGCATAAATCTTCTCTGTGGGAGAAGATTTACAAGAAGTTCTCTGGCTCCCTCTGCACCTGCATAAATCTTCTCTGCGGGAGAAGATTTACAAGAAGTTCTCTGGCTCCCTCTGCACCTGCATAAATCTTCTCTGCGGGAGAATATAATATTTACAAGAAGTTCTCTGGCTCCACCCCTACAGATTTATGCAGGCTCCCTCTGCACCTGCACGCTTTGCCACTTTCTCACTCTTCTCTCTTCTCTCTTCTCACTCGCTTCTCTCTCAACAACGCCGTCCCTGCAGCGACCTTGCTTACAACAGGTTCTCTGGCTCCATCCCTACCGAGTTTGGCAGGCTTACCAATCTGCAAACTTGGTAAAAAACAAAATAACGCTTGGAGAAGGGGGGAGTGAGGGGGAGCGGGAAGAGGGGGGGCGGGCGGGGGTGTGGTGGTGGAGCTGATTTGGCAGGCTTACCAACCTGCAAACTTGGTAAGAAGCTGATTTCTGAGGTGCCTAAATAGCAGATTCAGAATTTCAGGATTTCTCGCTGAGTATCCTTGTCAACACCTCTGCTCTCCACGTCTCCACGCAAGAACCGTCAACAGGCGTCCATGCAAAAACACAGGCCCATCAAGTGACTTTTGAGGCGCCTCAAAACCCATCAAGTGGAGAGTCAACTCTGCTCCGCATGCAAGCAACGTTTTCAAGACACTCTTGTCTGGCATATTTTCTGTTTACACCATCCGTGACACCCTCTCAAACCCCCGGATACTCTATCGCACCCCTTCATACCCCCCACCACCCCTGTTATTCCCCCTCCCTCCATCAGTATCTTTCTATACAACCAGTTCACGGGGAGCATTCCAGAAACCCTCTCCAAGCTGAAAAAACTCAGTCACATGTATGCCTGCAGAGTTTGATGGTGTGGTGCGATGCGGTGTGGTGTGGTTTGGTGCAGTGCGGCGTGGTGCGGCGTGGTGTGGCGCGGTGTGGTGCGGTGCAGTGCGTGCGGTGTGGTGTGGTGCTCGGGAAACTCGCTCACCATTCCTCTCTTGAAGGGGCCTCTCACCATCCCTTCCATTATCTCTGCCTCCCCAGTGACATCCATTGTCTCACCATCCCTTTCTTTGTCAAATCACATGCCATCCCTCCCACCATCCCACCCACCCACCATCCCTCCCACCATCCCTCCCACCATCCCTCCCACCATCCTTCCCACCACCCCTCCCACCATCCATCCCACCATCCCTCCCACCATCCCTCCCACCATCTCTCCCACCATTCCTCCCACCATCCATCCCACCATCCCTCCCACCATCCCTCCCACCATCCCTCCCACCATCCCTCCCACCATCCCTCCCCTCCCACCATCCCTCCCACCATCCCTCCCACCATCCCTCGCACCAACCCTCCCACCATCCGTCTCACCATTTCTCCCCTCCCTCGCACCATCCCATCTCGCCAGGGACTTCGCCCAAAACATCTTCCGAGGCACCATCCCTTCATTCTTCGCCACCCTGACCAAACTCGACATGCTGTATGTTCTACTCTGATGGGACATTCTGTTCATCAACTGATTCTTTCTGTAGAAAGTCCAAACATCACGTAGAGCTTTGCCACCCTCACCAAGCTCGACATGCTGTATGTTCTATTCTGATGGCACATTCCGTTTCGTGAGGCACCTTACGATCATGTTCTTATCACATCTTGTGATTCTTTTGAGGCGTCCCAAAAACACTCTCATATCACGTGCCTTATGATCATGCTCTTATCATTCTTGAGGCACCTTATGATCATGCTCTTATCATGCTCTTATCATGCTCTTATCATGCTCTTATCGCATCTTACGGTTCCTGCATCGCCATAAGCTTGTGATGTGATGGCATGTAGAGTTGACTCAGAAGTTGGTTTCCTGAGATTGCTCCATGGAAGCCATTAGATTACTCGAATCAAAACGGCAAGGGTATGAGTGCATTTGAAGTCCGAGCATTGCTGAGGAAGAATGGCTGCTTTATTCATTCTACCATGACTTAGGTGTTTCTTGTATCAAAGTAATGTTGTGAGGGAAGTGCAACAATATGTCACATTACCTCCACTCCAACCGCCTTCCCCTGTTGCAGGCACCTTGACACTAACCAGCTCCCTGGAGAGATCTCCATAATACCCAATAATCTATTCTCCGACAACGTTGCCCCGTTGTGCAGGCACTTTGACAATAACCAGTTTTCCGGAGAAATTCCCTCCCAGTTGGGAAGCCTCACAAATCTCACATACCTGTACGGTTCCAAGAATCCCCTCTCTTTACCTGGCTTTTAGATTCTAAATAAGGTGCAAAGGCAAACCTCTGACAAAGTTTAGGGTAAAAGTGCAAACTTGTTCTAGTAACCTCACACACACTCTGGTACGGTCGGCTGTCTGTGTAAATACTTGTATTATTGGCATTATCGCCGCACGTTGACAGTATAATGCGATGCTTTACTTTAGCACCCTCCACCTCCACCTCCACCTCCACCTCCTACAGGGGTTTCGCCACCAGTGCTCTCCAATCCAATGCCACTTAAAATGCTCACCCACCCACCCATCAACGCCCGCCACTAATTCTGCTTCGCTGCAGTGGCTTCGCACAGTGCTCTCCAATTTCACCCAAAGTGCCCCATTGCCATCCCATCACCTGCCACCCTCCACCTCCCTACAGGGGTTTCGCCACCAATGCTCTCTCGGGCCTCGTTCCACCCACCCTCGGGAATCTCCTCCGCCTCACGGAGCTGTGAGTGTAAAGGGTTTGTGAGTGTAAAGGAGCTGTGAGTGTAAAGGGGTTGTGAGTGTAAAGGAGCTGTGAGTGTAAAGGGGTTGTGAGTGTAAAGGAGCTGTGAGTGTAAAGGGGTTGTGAGTGTAAAGGAGCTGTGAGTGAAAAGGGTTTGTGAGTGTAAAGGAGCTGTGAGTGAAAAGGGGTTGTGAGTGTAAAGGAGCTGTGAGTGTAAAGGGGGCGTGAGTGTAAAAGAAGGTGTGAGAAGGTAAGGAGAGGTGTGTGTGTGAGCGAGTGTAAGGGAGGGTGTGAGTGATTTAAGTGGTTGTGAGTGTAAGTAGGGGTGAGCAAAAAACCGAACAGGTTTGTTTTTTTGGCTTAAAGCCCAAGACCTGAATTAGTTCGTGTCCGTAGGGTTGACATGTCAGGTGAAAGCGTGTCAACCCGAATCGCATTCAAATTAGAGTGTCAAGCACTGTAGCGGAAGTGTCAAGTCGAAGCGCAGGTACGAACATCAGCGACGCAATTTCATTGGTTTGAGAATTTGTCATGGGTAGATCTGCTAGGCAACGAACAATTCAAAAGACATATTGTGTGCTGATTGGGCAGCATCTGGTCGTGAGATAGGCACCTGCGACAATCTTCTCTCGTTTGTAGGTTTGTCTGTGCCAATTTCAAAAGTGTCCGACGATTTGTATTGGCTGGCAACCTGCAATTTCTTGACACTCTGCCAACAATGTTGGCAGAGTGTCATGCCGAATTGACACTACCCACTTTGACATGTCATCCCTACGGACACAACCTTACAAACTAAAAAAGGCAAACTGTGCACAGTTTGCCTTCCGAACCCAAAGTTGACCTCCCGAGCCAGGATGGTTACCAGACAGGCGTCGCATCCTAAAAGGACTGCGTCGTATATCAGTACGCTTCTACTTGGCGAGAGTCCCAACCACCCTGTGCGCAAGGAAGAAGGGAACTACCTGTGCACAGTTTGCTTGAAAATTGTAATTCAGGAAAGGCTGTGCGGCTCCTACTCGAGACCCTAAGCTTGGAGCCCATAGCAAATTCCTACCTTCAACCCCGTTGCAACGCGAGAGTAGTTATTGCTCGTTCCAAGCTTGAAAGGCGAGAAGCGCATATTACGAGACGCCACTCCCTTCGGTTTCACAAGGTGAACCTCGCTATCCCCTCACATCGTCCTCCACCACCACGCACCGTCACCCTCGCTTCCCCCGTGTTCCCCGTCGCCATTGCCCTCCCATCGCCCTTACCCCTATCCCCTCCCATCGCTTCCTCGTCAACGTCGCCGTGCCCCCTGGCGACGCTTCGTGAACCACTCCGCCACCACCCACTTCCTACGTAGTCGTGTCTCCACCACTCCCCACTATCCTGACACGTTTTCTCACTCGGGAAGCCCGTGCACACGCCCACGTTTCTCCTCCCTGCGCGCGCTCCTTTCTTGTAAGCAAACTCAGTTGTATCCTCTCGCCACCCCACACTGTACACGACGTAGAGTACATATTACAGCACTATATCAAGCGACAAACACCCATATTCCCCATGGTTACCTGCGTGTCTTGCTGCCCTCATTAGTCTCTCTGTGACATGTGGCGCAGCTTGCATGTAGACTGATAATAGATCGTTATGCGTAGCCACTTTATTGTCAGGCATGAGCACGCTTAGCCCCACACGCAGGTAGCAAACTGGGGCATGAGCACGCTTAGCCCCACACGCAGGTAGCAAACTGGGGCTCTGAGTTTCCAATGGACATTATAATGACGCTTGTTGAACGTGCTGCACACACTAGACACTGTATGGTTCGCCATCGAAGCCTGGATGGGAAGGAGGGGAATGAATGGAAAGGGAATGCGGTGGTAGGTAGGTAGGGAGGAACGAATGTAGGGTGGAAGGGAGAGTGAGGTGCATGTTGTCATGAATGGCGCGCAGTGAGTGGCCTCAGGTGAACGCAGATGGAGTGATGGGGCCATGGGCGACGGGAAGGGAAGTGAGGGCGATGAGCCCTGGTTGGATGAGAGAGAAGGGCGGATGAGGGGGAGGGCGGAAGAAGGGGAGGGAGGACGAGAGGAAGGGAGGACGAGAGGAAGGGCGGATGAGAGGGAGAGAGGATGAGAGGGAGAGAGGATGAGAGAAGGGAGGATGAGAGGAAGGGAGGATGAGAGGAAAGGAGGATGAGAGGAAGGGCGAATAAGAGGAAGGGAGGATGAGATGAAGTGAGGATGAGAGGAAGGGCGGATGAGGGGGAGGGAGGACGAGAGGAAGGTCTTAGAACTTAGGCTTAGAAGCGATGCATTAGTACTGAGCTTGAAGCTCTTTAAATACATCCAAGAAGGGGAGGGAATGGATGGGGAGGGAATGGATGGGGAAGGGAATCGGGGGCAATCCTAGGGATTAGGGCAATCTCCAATTGGTGGGTTGGAGATTGCTTGGAGATTACATTTGGGTTTGGTTGGGATGTAGGTGTACACCCAACCAAACACAATGTGCAAACTACACTACTCTAGGAAATAGAAAATACAAAGTACAAAGTGTGAGATTGAAGGCTAACACTAACACCCCCCCATAGGCGTCAATCGAAGTCATGGTAGAGAGGGTGGTGCACAGAGCCCCATGGCGCCTAGGAGACGGTGGTGGGGAACTTTCCCAAGGGGCTTGGTGAACAGATCAGCCAGGTTGCAGTCAGATGCAACGTATTCCACTTTCAGCTGCTCCTGTTGGACAAGGTCACGGATGAAGAAGTGCCGAAGTTCAATATGCTTGGTGCGGGTGTGATACACAGGGTCTTGAGAGATGTGGATGGTACTCTGGTTGTCACACCAGAGGGTGGGGGCGGACTGTGGGAAACCAAGCTCCTGGAGTAGGAAGGTGAGCCAACGGGCCTCCTGAGCAGCCATGGTGCTTGCGTAGAGCTCTGCCTCACAGGAGGAGAGGGAGACTGCAGACGACCTGGTGGAGCGCCAACTGACAATTCCGCTCCCAAGGGTGAAGCAGTACCCCTGAGAGGAGCGTCGGTCGGTCTGGTCATCAGCCCAGGAGGAGTCGGTGTAACCTTCCCGGCGAGGAGGGGAGAGCCCACCGAGTGTGAGAACGTGAGACTTGGTGCCCTGAAGATAGCGCAGCACCCGCTTCGCCGCCTTCCAGTGAAGATCAGTGAAGCGTCCAGGGGCCACGTAGCGAGAGAGGACACTGACAGGATAGGCCAAGTCCGGTCGGGTGCACATCATGGCGTACATGAGGGACCCAACAAGCTCCGGGTATGGCTCAGAGCAGGCCTCTGGTGTGGGTACAGCTGGAGCAGTGAGGAGGTGTTGCAGCGGCAGCGGGGTGGCAACAGGTGTGCACAGCTCCATCTCAAACCGCTTGAGCACATTGTCGATGTAGAACTCCTGGGAGAGTGAAATGGTGCGAGCCTGGCGATCACGAGTGATCTTCATCCCCAGGTTGTGCTTGAGGTCACCGAGGTCTTTCATCTGGAGAGCCTTGCTCAGGGCTGCCTGGACAGAGGTCATCTGGGCCGAGTCCTTGGCAACGAGGATGAAATCATCCACGTAGACCAGGATGTAGAATGGCTCAGAATGACGGCGGATGAAGAGAGTCGGGTCCGCAGTTGAAGGGTGGAAGTCCAGGGAGAGGAGGACTTCTTTCACCTTGTTGTGCCATTCGCGAGGGGCTTGCTTAAGGCCGTAGACGGGGCGATTCAGCTTCCAGACAGTGTTGGGAGGGAATTCTCCTAGGAAGCCTTCTGGTCTGTCCATGAACACTCTCTCCTTGAGACGTCCTCGTAGGAAGGCGGATGAGGCATCCATGAATTTGATCTCGAAGTCTTCTCGAGCTGCGACATCCATGAGCGTACGAATGGTGGGAGGTTTGGATGTGGGGGAGAAGGTTAGGAAGAAGTCGCGGTACTGCTGCTGGGTGAAGCCCTTGGCTACGTAACGCGCTTTGAACACCGGGGCCTCGTCTGGGAGCTGTTTTACACGGAACAACCACTTGCCCCCGACGATGTTGACTCCTGGAGGTGGAGTCTCGTCGTCGAAGGAGTGGTTGCGGGTGAATGCTGCAATCTCCGCTTCCATGGCAGCACGCCATTCGGCAGCATGAGGGCCTGAGAGAGCCTCTTGGACGGTGAGAGGGATAGGGATGGTCGGGTTCTCCGCGAAGTTGAGGGAGGGTGAGTCAGTGATGTCGGGGAAGATGTGCGAGAGCTGAGGAGTGACGGCATGAAGATCACACAGCTCCTCATGCCTGTCTTCCAGAAGGGTAGAGGGCACATCCCCCCCAGCAGGAGGAGGCGGTGTGATCGCCGTGTATCGAAGAACCAGCGCTAGTGGAAGAGCCGCGCCATGCGAACGAGTGCCATGAGCCACCGGAGAAGAGGGTGGGGCAGGCGGTGTCGGAGGGGTTGACTTAGGAGGCTTGGGCGGGGGAATGGGCCGCCGGTGGTACGTGATCAGCTCGGGCGACTGTGGGAGAGCGGGTTCCTCTGTGGTGGGGGGAACTGGGGGAGGAGGTGGGGCCGGAGGGTGGGACCGCCGATAGTAGGTGATAGGTGCGCTCGGAGGTGGCTGCACAGTCGGCGGAGTGGGAAGTGAGGGGGATGGAGGAGCAGCTGCCGAAGACACCGGTGAGGGCGGGTCAGAGACCGCAGAGGGGGACGGTGCGGTAGCAGGAGGGGTAGGGGGTGAAGGGGCCGCAGCAGGCGAGAGGTCAGGAGGCGCATCAAAGTCTGCCCACACGAGGGAGGGTGGGTCAGGGAGAGGGTCCCGTCCCGAAGTGGAGTAGAATGGGCGGGTCTCATCAAAGACAACGTCGCGGCTCCGGACCAACTGCTGAGTGGAGGGATTGAGGAAGAGGTAGTCAGGCGAGTCGGCGTTGTGTCCGAGGTAGATGCATGTCTGGGTCTTGGGACCGAGCTTGCCGCTGTGCTGCCGTCGAGCCTGAGGGTTGAGGAGGACATAGGCGGTGCACCCCCAAACGCGAAGAGAGCGAGCAGTGGGCGTTTT